GAACATGTATTGTAAACTGAACATTATAGCCATTTGTTGGTATTCTATAGCCTGGGATTCAGGCGTTGATATTTTTTGCTTATTCATAACATACTCACATCTAACATGCTCAATCGTCATAGATAACACAACATCTCTTGTTTTGATAGTATTTGCCGAACAGAAGCACATAAAAAATCGACAGACTGGAACCCAGGCTAGGTATTCTAATATATGTCAAACCTCTCATGTAAATCATCATACATTTAAATATATAGGTTCGAGAAGGATGGCAACAGTTAGAGTCCGCTGATCTACCATTTGGTAGAATTAATCTATCATGTCATACATCTATACTTTTATTCTTGAAAATAACTTTGTGTTTTAGAGAGAAACATGAGTAATGTTCGAATAAGAAATTACCTTCTGGTAGGTAGTTAGGGATTAACGCGTATAACAAGCTAGATCCCCTCCTTTATTCTGTGTTTAAATGTATGATATGTTCGAACATTTTATGCTGGTGATAGTGGATTGAATTACCAACTACCAGCTGTTAAATAGTTGGGTATTACGACTAAGCAACTACAAGCTGGTAGGTAGTTGTTTATTTGAATATCCAACTACCTTCTATCAACTAACCTACCAAACTGACGTTCATACAATTAAATGCGACGACAACGGCAGTACTATTACATGCATGTACACCGAGGGTATGTATAACAAGAAAATATTACATACATTCGTATGTAATATAGGTACGATTGCATACTACTTTTTGTGAAGACTTTATGTTTGCTGAATTAAAGGTGTAATGTAAAATGAACAAACATGTCATGAGATATTTTATATCTTTAAACATTTTCATGGAATGTAATTAATGTATCATCATATTAAAGTTGCATGCCTTCAGATGAGAAAAATGATTTCAAGAAAATCAAAATATGAAAAGAAAATTCACGGTCAATTGACTGCTTTGAAGCATAATCACAAAATAAAATTACAGGAAATTAAAAAACCTTTTTAATACACTTAAGGTAGAATTTCATTGTAAATCATAGTCACAAATTTGAGATATTATTATTTATTTATATTAACATCATTATTGGTTATATATTGATAAAAAAACGAAAGACACAGTTTGTAAATATTTATTACAATAAAATATGAAAAGGGTATTTCCATCCTATGCGACGCGCCGAGGTTAGCTATAATTAAAATTCCCGCGCAAAGTCGCGGTGGTGCTTGGGATAATCACTTGATACTGTAAATGGCAGCCATTTTAAGATACGAAAATGCCTGGCCCTCCTCGGACAGTTTATCCTGCCGAAAAGATATGAAAAAATACTTGCAATTCAAAGTTTGTTTGCTACATAAAGATTATCGATTTACTCTTTGCACACTTTTTCTCTGCCTGATTGTAATAATATTGATGTGTTTTCATTGGCTTAAACCATCACGTTATCAATACACATAAAGGTGTGAACTAATTTCGTGTTCATTAAAATTATTCCGTTAATAGACATATAACAATCTTATTTACAAATGAATTGATAAAACAATAATCCCAGAAGCATTTAAGATAATAACAATCATTGGAAAAAAATAAATGCATATAAATTGTAAATTTGTGTATGACAACTCACCCCCTAAACAAAACATAATAGACTCAACCAAAACAAGCGCCTGCTTCTTCACCTAACTATGTAGTTGCATGACCATGATTAGCAATACAGTAGCAAACCAAATCTAAGAGATAAACCTATTGTAAAAATAATACTATGACCACAGCAGATTTCGTACAGAAAAGACGGTGAGTATTTGTCTGTTTTTATATCTTCCACTATAATTTGGTAAAATGCAGATTAAGCTCTAAATGATCATACTAACAAACAGCTGGTCCTATTAAAGCATAATTTTACAAGAATTTTGATCAAAATTACAAAATAATGAAATGAGGCATTTTGCGAAATTAGTCACATGCGTTTTCTAGTTGAAATGACAAATGACAGGGAGTCATTTTTTGATATGATGTATTACAATCATTATTCTGTCATTAAATGTTCCGAATCAAGGCTTCCAAAATGCTTTCTATGTATAAGAGTTGGCATGTCTTCGAAATTTGAGTAACGATATCAGGAGTCCATATCTTTTAAAAGGATAACAACGACCATAGATCGTCGGCGTACATGGGCAGCATAAAACAGTTAAATAAAACATTTTGTGAGGATCTTGTGCAATAATAAGGAAACAAAAGTAAAAATCGTTTATTTAAAATACACAATTTTCACAGATTGTTAATAGCAGCTGTAGCTTTCCGTAGTTTTAGTAGAGCGGAAACATCGTGCACGCGCGCTATTTTATTCGGATGTGTTTAGTTTTTACTGTGTACGTTTAACTTCCGGTGTTGAATCGGTGAAACTCAACCTTATCCTTCACATGGTCCAGCTCACCCGTGCAATATAATGAATATTGGTCACTCGATCTGTGTTGTATTTGTCCAATTGTTTTGTTTGTTGTGTATACTTAGAACTATGCGAGGAAGTCTCTAAAACGATACATGTAGCATAAAAAGAAATAATGAGCTCTTTAAATCTCGCAGTTATTTTTTTTAAAGGTTGAATTAGAAAATCTTGAAATATGTAAGAACAACGTCAATAAGTTGACAAAAGATTCTTAATAATGATAATGTGTAAGTAACAAAAATAACATATGCATATTATGTATCTTTCTATAGGTTTTTACAAAGAACTTCAATTTATTATTAAATCTATCAACGAATTTATTGTGTAAAAATGAGTCATACATATTTCGATATAACTGCATACAATGTATTTAAATAATATATTATATAGGGATCACTTTTTCGACACAGAAGCTCATTGCGTAATAAGCAGAAATGAAAGTCAGGAGTGATATCATAACCAAGTAAACCTGCGCGTTCACGCAAAATCATGCTTGTCGGGAGAAAAAACAAGCGTTTGCCTGACTTGAAGATATGTAGCAAACAGTTGTCTTATTATAATACCTGTAGATATTCATATAGTACTATACAGTGATTAATGGAACGTACATATAAGTGTGGTATTAACCAATCGATCTTAAGAGAGAATAATAAAATAACATTGTCAAGCCAGCAGTTTGACGACGAGACTCTATCATGCCGGATATTTTTCTATCATGTTGATACTTTCCTTCATCACTAATTCAAAGTAGAAGACCTCATTTTCTGTTAATAGAAAAATCACTTTCTATGGTGATATCACTCTAGCTGCGAAAATGTTTAGATTAAATTGTTTTAGCTTTTTATAGGAATACATACACAGTAGAGTAGCAGTCTTTTAAAATATAAGAAACATAAAAATTTTTTTCTTGCTTATATAAATATATGGCGGTATTATAAAAGTGACTAAGGTCTGTAATACAGTGAAAAGTTACACTGATAGTATTTAGTATTAGACTTAACAAATGTTCGATGTTCATTCTGAATCGCTTAGAACTTTATCAAGATTTTTTTCACGCATCATTTTATAAGAATATTTAAATGAAACATTTCTATTCTTTTTATCAAAAATTGAGCCGCGTCACAACAAAACCAACATAATGGGTTTGCGACCAGCATGGACCCAGACCAGCCTGCGCATTCGCGCAGTCTGATCAGGATCCATGCTGTTCGCTACTGTTTCCTTGTAAAAGGGTTGGTAAGCGAACAACATTGATCCTGGTCTGGATCCATGCTGGTCGCAAACCCATTATGTTGGTTTTGTCGTGACGCGCCTCAATTGGAATTCCAATGTAAATTGCACCCATTGTAGACCTATCAACTTTAAATGCTAGACAATTTCTGTGACATTGGTTGGTTAGCGAATAATTGGCCTAGAAAATTTAAATTTTATCTTATTCTTCTTATTTTCCGTTACATTATTATATTCATATTATAGGAAAGGTTTTTGTAAAGCACAGATCTGTTTAGCTCTTGGCGTTAAAAATAGCATTTTAGAGATTTTCAAAGGGTGTGCATTTAGTGCTAAACTACATGTATATTGTTTTACCTGAACTTATGATTCATTTGACGACAATGTCATAAATGATATTCATTTTCTGCTAGGCTTCACTTCTCTGGTATGGACGACTTTATTTTCGAGCAGCATTGTCAGTTCAACAGAAAATAATTGGGTAAGTGTATAGAAAATGTCTTTGTATGAAAATTATATTTAGAAATTTTGTAATGGCACTCAGTAAAATAAGTGGAAAACAAACAAATCAAAATAAAAAAGAAAAGAGTGGGTCCAAATCCAAAGCAATAAAGGGTTATTCTGAGATTGAAATAGCATTCATGTTTTGAATGATCGAAACACTGTGAAGAGCAACGTATTGACAATTTAACAAAACTATCAAAAGATATTACATGGAAAGCAGTCAACAAGTATTATATTATTACTATGTGATATACAATAATGTGGATATATCATATATTATATCAGTAAATAATTTTCACACACTAATAATTATGAAATTGACTTGTTCCTGGAACATACGATACATCCCAGCTTGTACTCATATTAGACCTAAAAATAATATATCATTATGTAACGGCGTACTTTTTTTCAGACGGCATTGACTCAACATTAATGACAAAGACCGGTGACCGGTCAAAGGGTTCGATGTATGCTAATATATTTTTACTTAGTATGTGGTGTGAAACCTTACAAACATATTTCGAAAAACGTGGCAGAAAAATTTATTAAGTTAGTAAGTTTGCAGACAGTGTGGTGGTTATTATATGATTGCATATGGTAAAGATACTTTTTCGGAGAGTGTTGTTGAGCTGTCAAGATTGATTTTCTTGAGGAAAAAAGTAAAATTTTGAACATTTAGCGCAGACGGTGTAAAGGTTAATTATTACCTTTATGGTGTACGAGTATTCGGATAGACAATATTTTCGACACAGTATTTGAACATAGTTTGGACACTTTTCCCGATATTGTTTTGATATTGATATTGATATTAAATAACCACGAATGATGGATCCTGAAGGAGCAAAAGACTATGTTTCTAATATTCTTCCATCAACTCAGCCAGTACAGTCCGTGCTATTTGCTCAAAGTGAACGAAAGAGAAACTTTTCAGAGACTGATATTGATTGTTTAGATTCAGGTGTGCGTAGCAATATGGTATCTACAAAGAAGGCTAAATCAGATGATGATCACGTGTCAGACAGAGTCATGGCTAATGCACGGAGAGTTTTATATGGGAATACACCTGAAAAATTCATAGTTAATGAAGGGAAACGTGCAGTTCAAAGCAGTGATCAGCCAAGCTTAGTGTGTATCATGATGAAACTGGATGATATTTCGAATGACATCAAAAAGGTAAACCATGATCTGTCCGATAGAATCGATAAGCTAGAAATAGAACTTGAAAAAAGACTGACCGAAAAACTGTCTGATAAGATTTGTCAGCAAGTTGATAAGAGAATAAATGCAGAAATAAAACGAGTGAATAAAGCTGTTGATGAAAAACTTGATACTGTTCGTGCTGATGTGAATAATGATATGGATGAAATACAGGTTAAGCTCATATCAATCAGTGATACTGTTAGAGCTTTCAAAGCTACTGAAGATATTTCCAATAACATTATACTGAGAAAGTTACCAGAGACTAATAATGAACATGTTGTGAATAAGGTCCAGACTTTGATACATGACATATTGAAATTATCTAATATTGAAGTTGTGACTGCAAGGCGTGTGAAGAATGATAGTTCCAAATATCCTGGTGTAGTTGTTGCAACTCTTCAAAACAGTGAAGCACGAGACCAAGTGCTGAAAGCTAAGTCAGCACTCCGTAATACTCCCTTCAAAGACATATATATAGATGTAGATCGTACCAGAGAGGAGAGGCTTGCTACACAGAACCTTCGTACTGTGGTTGATGCAATGAATAAGGGCGCGCAAATGTCAATACGGGGAAACAGAGTTGTTCTTGCAGCTAGTAATAATCATTATAATGTGAATGTAAATACCGATAGAGCAAGTGTTTGTAATCGAAGCAGTGAAGCTAGAGTTAATAATCGAAGCAGTGAAGCTAGTGTTAATAACCGAATTAATGAAGCTAGTGTTAATAATCGAAGCAGTGAATCTGATACCTCAAATTCCGATGGTGGTCTATACAGCTCAATATTAAACTCACAATGCTCAAATAGAAATCCGTCATATAACAGTAGTGGAAACAATAGGTCCAACCAAGGTCATTGGGGTCAAGGTCGTGGAAATCACGGGCAAGGTGGACGAGCTCGAGGACGTGGCTTCCAGAACAATAATAACAACAGAGGTAGAAGACAACAACAATAGGTCAACATCGGGTTTTGGAACATTAATGGGTGGAGTTCTAATGAAAACTGTGATAACTTTTATTTAAGGAAACATTGTGTACATCATTTAAATTTTGATATTATTGGTTTAGCAGAGACACATCTTAAAAATGAAAATGTTTTAGATATTGAACATTATACATGGTTAGGTAATAACAGAAAACATTTACATGTTAATGCCAGATCTGGATCTGGTGGAGTAGGTTTTTTAGTTAAAAATGATTTTTTAAGAAATTTTATGGTACATGTTGTTGATAACACTTTTGATGGTATATTGTGGTTATCTTTTGAAAGTAAATGGACAAAATTTAAGTTTTTGACATGTGTGGCTTATTTGCCGCCTAATAATTCATCTAGGCAGGTAGAAGCTGAAAATTTTTATGATCAGTTGTTAGCATCTTTTTACACATACCAAAATGATGGGCCAATTATTATAGGCGGGGATTTCAACAGTAGAATTGGAGATAATGATGATTTTATTTCTGGGGTAGATTGTTTACCAAAAAGAAATATTGTTGATTTTACAACAAATAATCACGGTGAAAAATTAATACAATTTTTAATTGATAGTAACACATGTGTGTTAAATGGTCGAAATTTTATACGCAATGATTTCACTTCTATATCAACTAAAGGGTGTTCAGTGGTAGACTATTTCATTGTTCAGCAAGAGTATTTAAGTATGTTTGACAAAGTTAATGTCACACGAGTTACAGATTTAATATCAGGCATTCATACATTAAATGGTTTAACACCAGCTTCGATACCTGATCATTCTGTTTTGTCATGTACATTTAATTTACCAGTGAATAGCACTAATCATGATAACACAAATGTACATGTTTATGAGCAGGATGTAATGTATGATAAGTTTAATTTGAAAGAAATACCTGTTAACTTTTTGAGCTCGGATATTGTTGTAAATGAGCTCCATGACACTGTATTTAAACTTGAGCAAAGTATGAGATGTCAGTCTGATGTTGATAATGCATATAATGATCTATGTAAGATTTTGAAAGATGAAATGTATAAGAATATCCAATATAAAACTGTGCATTTGTCGAATACTTATAATAAAAAGCGCCGTATTGCTAAACCATGGTGGAACGATAACTTATCTTACCTCTGGAATTCCCTATGCTTGTCAGAAAAAAAACTGGCTTAAATGTCCGAATGTTTCGCAGTCAGAAAAAGCAATTTTAAAAAATGTATTTATTACAGCCCGTAAAACTTTTGACAGAGCAGTCCAACGGGCAAAACGTTCCTATTGGGTCTCATTTCAAGAAGATTTGGCTTCGGACTGTGATATAAATCAACAGGAATTCTGGAAATCCATTGGTAAAATAGGTGTTGCACAGTCAAGAAATAAAGGGATACCAATGGAGGTAGAAATGTCTGATGGTAGCATATCTAGCAATATATTACATGTTATGAACAGATGGAAAAATGATTTTAGTAATCTTTTAAATAAGAATAAACAAGTCTACGCACAGTTCATCTGCTTTTACTGGTCAAGAAAATGATTTAGATGCTGATAATGAGATTTTAAATTGTGGCATCACTGTTGAAGAAGTAGAAACAGCCATTTTTAAAGCTAAGCAAGGTAAAGCCAGTGGGTTTGACAATATTCCATTAGATATTTTCAGAAATAAGGGTTGTGTTTCATTTTTACATATTTTATTTAATGTGTGTTTTACAACAGGAACTATACCTACTAATTGGGGAAAAGTTGTTATTGCCCCTATACCCAAGTCAAGTACTGCTGATCCTCGTGATCCACTATCTTACAGGGGTATAGCTCTATCTTGCTCTATGTATAAGATTTATTGTTCTATATTAAATAATAGGCTCTCTAGTTGGGCGGAAAATAATAACATCTTAGCTGATGAACAAAATGGTTTTAGAAAAAATAGAAATACCATAGATCATGTCTCAACACTAAGTAATATTATTGATTCAAGGAAAAAGCTTAAACAGTCTACCTTTTGTGCCTTTATCGATTTTAGAAAAGCATATGATTTTATTAATCGTAGTCTGTTATGGAAAAAAACTTTTTGATACTGGCATTGAGGGTAGCATGTTTAATGCCTTGAGATCCCTATACAAAATGGTGTCATCCTGTGTTAGAATAAATGGTCATTATACAGATTGGTTTGAAAATACATGTGGTTTACGTCAAGGTTGTTCGTTGTCACCTTTATTGTTTAATTTGTTTTTAAATGACCTGGTCACTAAGATTAAAGCTTTAGGAAAAGGTGTGTCTATAGATAATGAAATTGTCAGTATTTTACTGTATGCCGATGATATTGTACTTATAGCTGAAAATGAAAATGATTTACAAGATCTCTTAGATGTTTTGTCAAATTGGTGTTATGTAAACTCTATGATAGTTAATCCACAGAAGAGCAATATTGTACACTTTAGACCACCATCTGTTGTAAAAACCACTCATGCTTTCACTTGCGGTACCCATAGTCTACAAGTTGCCACTCAGTATACCTATCTAGGCATTCTTTTAGATGAACATTTAGATTTTTGTAAAACAGCAAAATCTGTTGCACAAAGTGCTGGAAGAGCACTTGGTCTCCTTATTGCAAAGTCCAAAAGTCTTGGTGGCATGCCATACAATGTTTTCACCAAATTGTACGACAGCATGGTATGGCCTGTTATTTCTTATGGTGCTTCCATATGGGGTACTAAGTCTTATTCATGTATAAACGCAGTGCAAAATCGAGCCATGCGTTTTTATTTAGGTTTGGGAAAGTACACCCCAACTGCAGCTCTATATGGCGAACTTGCTTGGCAACCACCGCATGTGAAACAGTGGGTATCGGTAGCTAGGCTGTGGCATAGATGTCATATAATGAATAGAGATAGACTGAATTATAAAGTGTATGCATATTGTTGTACTAGATCTAGCACTGGATGTAAAAACTGGCAGTTCAACTTTGTAGAACATTTCAACTTGATTAATTTATCGCATCTATTAGATACCTGTAAAAGTTTAAACTTCTAGTACATTTTGTGACATGTTTGGGCAAAATAGTATGAATTTATTAATAAATGGAAACTACATTAATCTAGTCCAACGGCTCTACAAGAAACAAATTAGTGAAATTACACACATATCAATTGTTTAAACATCAGTATAAAACTGAAAAATATGTATATTTACCAATGCCTACACAACATTGATAGCATTAGCAAAATTTATATGTGTAGTTGCACCCCTCCGTCTGGAAACAGGAAGATATGAGAATTTAGATGTTAATAACAGGATTTGTCCAATTTGTAAACAAAATGTTGAAACAGAAATACATGTGTTAACACAATGTCCTGCGTACCAACTTCTTAGAAATGTCTTATTTGATAAAGCCAAAGATATCAATGCTGATTTTATTAATATGAATGATGAACAAAAAAGTATGTTTGTACTCTCAAATCCCGAAATTGCCAAAATAACTGCCAAAACCTGCTATAATATACTTCTCTCACGTTTTGATACTTTGTATCATTAATAAGGTTACGCTTACTGAAATATATATTATCTAAATGTAGAATTCTTTTAAAAATGTACATAAAATGTTGTAGCATTTTATTAACTTTTAAAAGGAAATTTCTTATATGTTTGTAGCTAAACGTAGATAACCATTTAGTCATTGCTAATCAGTTCATCTCTGGTCTGATCAGGGTTGATATAGGTCTTTATAGGTGTATTTTATTTATTTATTTTTTATTTTTATTTTTTTTTTTTAAACAGTTATATTAATCTTCATGATTATAGGGCAGATCTTAAAGTATGGATTAGCAATGGTAATCTAAATTTTATTCTATTTATTTTTATTTGTTTTATTTTTTTTTAAACAAGTAAAAGTAAAGAAATGTTACTGTCTCACACATCATTTATTACAACATGATATTTTATCTATGTTTATATGTCAGGATGGAATACAAAATGTATATCATTAAGAGTTTTGAAGATATAAATAAGAAAAGAATATACTCAGTAACAATCAAAAATGTTTAATCATTTGTATTTTTGATTTTATCTAGTATTTTTAAAGTTGTATAACGATAGTCTCCTATAAATCTGCGATAGATTGGCCATGCTTTTTATATATGTATTATGTAAATGTTTTGTACTATGTAAATATGCATGGATGAGACGTAAATAAACAAATAAAACTAGTATCATTTTCCAGAATTACAGTAACATCAGTGATCTGTTTACTATCATTATGACTAGGTACAAGTTTGATTTATTGATACATGGTTGGTGCTTTATTTACAATGTCAAACATGCTGATTGGTATCTCTCTGCATTGTTGTCTGTGACTACAAGGTATGTCTACACAGGGAGATACCCGTGGATAGATAAAACAAGTACGTAGAACTGATACATACATAAGTATGCTGATTTATCTGCAGTAACGCCGAATTCCTTTATAGGTATAAAATAAGAATTTCTCAATTTATGTTATGAGAGTTATATCTTATGAAAAGCAAACTATACTTTTAAGAGAGTTGAGTATCTCGCATTTATGTTGTGCAACACCTGTGACGAAACTGATCATACGCGTTAGTTAACATGTTTTACAAATGTGTAAAAAAATACTATACTTTCCGGTAATAAATGGCCATTTAAATCACAATATTTTACAAAACTGCTTAAATCAAGTTTGGCATTAACCAAGCCAATAACTGTAAAAAAAAAGATTCGAGATGCCACTGTAAGTTTTGTTTTGGTTTCTCCTCTCTTCGTGCGCCACCGTGGTCGAGTGGTTAGAGTCGATGACTTCTAATCCAGTTACCTCTCTGGCGTGGGTTCGATCCCCGGGAGATGCTTTGGTAGTTTAGCGCGGAGGAAGGTAGTCAAGTACTGGTGTAACTCTCCAGGAACGATGGTTAAGAAACTACCCGCCTATATGACTGAAATACTGTTGGAAAAAGGCGTAAAGTGACACAAACAAACAAACAAAT